AGTGACGAGGTAAAAAGCTTCTTTTAGCCCCTCAGGATAAGCCCAGTGATGCTGTATCTCCTCCCTGACCCTGCACTTGTAGCCATAATAATGCAGAGCAATTCAGTGGTTGAGCCTGGGGCTGGTGCTTCAACACTCAGACCAGTTGCAATTGTCCCTAGAGATCATCCTTCCAGCTTCTCTGGGAAGTGCCTTTAACCTCTGGCTTTGTCCCCCTCCCTGTTAGAACAGGCAGGTGGGAGAGGGCACACAGACACAGAGAAAGCGAACAGGAAGACCCCAGAGACAAAATCCACACTGCAATCTGGATCCTTAAAGCTTTGAGGTGGAGATGGGCTCCCATTATTCCATGGGCGCGATTGGATTCTAGGAAGCAGGGAAGGCAAGTTTTCATCTCTGATCCAGAACCAAGGGTGAGAAGCCTCACACTGAAATATCTGTACTTCTTAACTTCTGTCATTTCACATTCATAAAAATTGGCCACTCACAAACTTCCCTTCCCAGAATGGCTTAAATGCAAAAACTATTATTATTAGTTCTCCACCACTCATTTTCAGGCTTCCCGAGCATCCTCAGAGGTATCAGAGCTAGAAAAATATATTTCTATATATATATATAGAAGGCCTGTTCCTGTGAGCCCCCTTCCTCCAGGGGTGCCCGGCACTGTCTGAGAAAACTTCACTCACTGTGACTGGGGGCACCCTAGAGAGAGTGCAGTCTAGAGGTCGAGTTCCGGGTTCTAATCCTGGCTTTGATGTAGTTCCAAGACCATGGCTACTTCTCCAGGGCTTGGTTTTCTTTGCCACGGAAAGTGTTGGGTTAGATTCCAACACTGGTTCTCAAACTTGATCACCCATGAGAATCACTTTTGAAAAGTCTGTGCAGCAACAGGGATGGACCTAGAGATGCTCATACTAAGTGATGTCAGTCAGACAGAGACAGATATCATATGATATCACTTACATGTGAAATCTGGAAAAAAAATACGCAAATGGACGTACTTACAAAGCAGAAAGAGGCTCACAGATGTAGAAAACAAACTTCTGGTTACCAAAGGGGAAAGGAGGGGAGAGGGATCACTTAGGAGTTTGGGATTAGCAGATACAAACTACTGTATATTAAGTACATAAACAATAAGGTCCTACTACAGAGCACAGGAACTACCTTCAATACCTTCTAATAACCTATAATGAAAAAAAGATGAATATATGTGTATATATAACTGAATCACTGTGCTGTACACCAGAAATTAACGTAGCATTGTAAATCAACTGCAAAAAACATTTCCTGATGCCTGGCCCTTCTCTGACCAATTAAATCAGAAGATTTGAGGGTGGGACTTGTGCAAGGGGAGTTTTTGAAGCTCTTTAAGTGATTTCAGTGTTCACCAAGGCTGGAGAACTAGTAGTTTAGAAGATCAGTGTTTCTCCACTCTGGCTGTATATGAGAATCACCTAAGAGGCTTAAAAGAATACAGAGGCCAAAGTCCCGCCCTAGAACAATTACAATAAGAAATCTCTGTGGTTGGTCACAGACATGGCGTGAGGTCACAGTTCCCCAGATGACTGTAATGTGTTCATGGGTTAGATGACATTCAAGGATGCTCCTGATCCGAGATTCTAAGCCACTGTGAGTCTGCACTTGTGGGGCTGTAAGCATTTGTACCACCTTGTCAGGAAACGAGCTGCTCTAACTGCTTCCATTGGCTGCCAACTTAAGCTGCTCTGTCTGACTAAGGAACGAGGTGATTCTTTCCCCTTCCACATCTGTCTTCTCTGGGTCTCGGCTCTTGACAGTCAGGAAGAACACCTAGAGGAAGGTCACCCTGGACTGGACCTCAGTCCATCACCACAGTACATGCCAGGGTTCTTAACTGTTTTCGTCATATCAACCCCTTTGAGAACCTCATGAAAACTCTGGAGCTTCTCACAAGAGAAATTCACTTTCACATGTGCACATCAAACTCAGCATACAACCTGCGTGGGCTCCAGAACCCCTGATGCCAAGAAAATTCTGTCCCATTTCACAGTAAGATAGAAGTAAAAAATGTCCATAACCCAGGAAGGCAGAAATTGCCACGTGGCAGGAAGAGGCAGGACTGAAAGTTATGAGTCCTGAGTTCTAATCTTGGTTCCACTTCCAGCCAACTGACACTTAGGGCTCACCGAGTCACTTTATCACTCAATTTACTCACGTGCCCAATGAAGAACCCTAATACTGACTCTGCCATGTCTCTGCCTTACCTTCCACTCTCGGGAAGAATTGGCACATTCCTCACTCTGTCCAAAGCTGTCTTTAGGACCATAGAACCATAGTGTATCTGTTAACTCGTTCCAAGTGCCTGTGTGGGCCAAGAGGCTGTAAGGATAATGGTGTGTCAGGGTCCTGGAGCCTGGAAGGGACTAGGCGAAGGGATTGCATGCAGTGTTGGCCTGTTTGGAGTATACCTTGGATGCTGACCTTGGGAGGGGCAAGTGGAGAGAGCCCATGAACCCACCACGCACCAGCCACAGTCCTTGTTGGGGGAAGGCTGGAACTGGAACCAGCTGTCTGAGAAGCAATCTCCCAGACTCCACAGTAACTGCCAAATTGGCCACGGGCTTGGCAGAAACTACCCAACTGGTGAGTGCCAAGTGGTTTGGAGAGAGCGGGAGTCCTGCTTGGCCTGTGGGCATGGGGCAGCTCTGTTCCCAGCCTCTCAGGGCACTCAGGCTGTTAGAGTGCTAACTTGAGAAGCGTGCCCATCAGGCCCTGCCAGGAGGGTGGGTCTGATGGCTCCGGGGGCCCCAGATTTGCTGCCTGCCCAGGAGACACAGCATGGTTCTCCCGTTAGCCTTGGGCAGAGCCTGGCCTCGTAGGAGAGCAGATGTGTTCCTGGCTGACCTCTCCACTGCCCGTTCTTCTGCCTTCTTTGACTTCTAGACCATCCTTATGGAAGCAAGGGATGGGTGAGAAGAGAAAGGTAGCCGTTCCTGCCTGGGTCACTGAGCTTCTGCTCCGAATGGTCGCTTAGGGATGGGAGAGAAGCCCCTGGTCCCCAGGAGAGGGTTTCCTCTTGAATGATACCGAGGAAACGAGAGAAGAAGCCTCTCCCCAGAAGTGGTGATATGTCTGCGAATGTGGAGGCTATCTGGAGGTCCTCAGGCCTGAGGATGGTGCTTCTTGGGGGCCGGAGGGAGCGTGAGGAGGGCAAAGCCTTTGGAGCTATAACTTCTCATCCTTGGACTTCGAGGAATGACACACCTGCACCTTCCTTCCTGCAAGTGCCTCGTCTCCTCTTGTTTGTCCCACTGGAAAGGACTAACCTGGGCACTGCACTGTGCACCAGCAGACAGATGTGGCTTTTAAAAACTTTTTCTCACAATTTCCCTTTTGCTGCTTGTGGACTGTTTTGCAACTACTGTTTCCAGCTGGGACAGAGGAATATACACAAGCCATGTATCTTTTCAAATATTTACTTCATTGAAAATAAAGATAGGTATTTCGTTGTTCCTTCCCATAAAACAAGGGATTTGTGTTTCCAAACTGGGGCATTTCTTACTGTCTTTGTAGGTCTGACAAAAATGCTTTTCTACCGCAGACTTTTTTTAACCTTTTTTTTTTTTTGAGAGAAGCCTTCATGTTCTGCACAGAATTACTTTCCAGTATATTTGAATTGAAGATGCAAACAACTGGTTTTGTTTGTTTGTTTGTTTTCTGCCTTTTTTTTTTGCAGACAACTGTTAATGGGCATAATAGCATATGGATGTTATCATTGGAAGGTAGCTTTGAGATTCCCTGTCTTGCTGATTTGGCAAAGTTCAGAGGGGAGTGTTGGCCAGGAGAGACCCAGAAGAACCACTTTGAGACCCGGGAACTCACAAGCACTCTTGCGTGCAGCACTCAACCCCACAACTCTGTTTTAAATGGGTGAAATACACTGTCACCATTGATGGTGACACGTGGCCACAGGGTTCTTTACAAACCCAGGAAGAAATGGAATGAAGCTCCCCCACCCTCCATCGTCAAGGAAGCTGCCACGCAGGGTGACTCTCCATCACTCCTGCTGGAGTGCCCCGGGGCACAGACCTCCCTGTGTCAGAGAGACAGGGTTTCATTACCGTGTCAGCCCAGGGCCCGCCAGGAGCCAGACCCCACTGGTCTTGTCGAAGAGAGAATTTACTATGAAGAGTTATGAACTTTCCATTTTGGAGAACTAAAAAGGCAAATAGAACAGTTGGATATGAAGGTGACAGAACCTGGAGGAAGCAACCCGAGGGTTGAGGGCACAAAGGAAGAGGTTGGAGTGACTAAGATTCAGAGCTCTGAGGAGGACTCTGTGGTGCTGGAACTCTGACCATCCCGCGCCGAAGCTGTTTCTCAGGGGGCGCAGAGAGGCTGCTGGTATTGGGAAAGCTGCAAACTGGACCCCGCCACTGCTTCTTGAAGGCGACAGAAGAGGAAGCACAGGCATGAAGGTTCCTTCTTCTTCCTCAAATCTCTCTCCAGCGCCCTCTGTTGGCAGCGTCTGTGAGGCTGCAACTGGCAAAAAAAAAAAAAAAAAAAAAGATGTGCAGCTCCCAGCACCCCCAGCCCAGCATCAGAAGCAGAGAACTGAGGTCAAGGGACAATGGTTTAATAAGAAGAACCCTCGGCTGGGCCTCCATGGCTGTGTCACTGGTGACTACTTCCCGATTTCCCTGCTCCGTTATTGCGGGCTGTGGAACAGGACTCTGTTGTTTCCCTAAAATGGCTAAGCTGAGGCAGAAGGTGGATTTGGGAGAGCTTTTGTGTAGCTTTCCAGCATGCCTCTAAGCCAGGATTTCTCATCCGTGGCACTACTGACATCCTGGACTGGTTGGCCCTTTGCTGGGGTGGGGGGCTGTCCTGCGCACTGTAAGATGTCGAGCAGCATCCCATTAGCCGCTTACAGCACCAGCCACCCCCCCGCCTCCATCCTGGCCCCCAGCCAGTCCAAAATGAGAACCGAAAACTCTCTGGACTCACCAGTGTCCCCTGGGGAGCAAAATCTCCACCAGTTGAGAATCACTGCTCTAACCTCTCTCAACTTTGTTAGCCTGCACTTTCTGGCCCGAGAACTGGGACGGTAAGGATGCCCATGCGTTCACATCTATTTACAGTCCTCCAAGCCCCTTCTCTGCTCTATACGAACCCATTCCAACAACCTCAGGAGGCAAGGAGGGACGGATACTGTTCTCTCCACTTTACGGGCACGTGAACTGACTCAGAACACCCCGCCCTCAAGTAGGAAACCCTATCAAGGCAGCCAGACACCACCCTGACAGGCTTCATCCTTGCATCTTGAGAGGGGAAAAGGGGACAGCTGACTGGCAGAGGAGGGAACCTCCCCCCACCCCAAGCTACCAATAATGGTCCTTTTATTTTTCTTTTAAAGTGTCCAGCTGTTGCCAGGAATACCATATAAAACATCTTTATGAAGTGAACACCAGCCCCAACAGCTTATACAAGCTGGCTTCGTCAAGGGCCCCGGTGTTTCTAATTAACGCTCCAGTCCCTGCTCCACGCGAGCCCTACCTGCGTCGCCTCCCCTGGCTTTTGACTTCTGGCTGACCTGCACGTGGCCCTTGTGCCTGTGACCAGTAAACACCCCTGATGTTCCTGCCAGGTCTGGGAGGGCAGGAATAAAAGTCACTTCCAACCAGCTGCGCCCCAGCCTGCACGTGGACTGCTCAGGGCAGGCACCGGGGAGCACACCGCCCTGCCCTGCGCTGTCCCGCTGAGCAGCACCTGCCTGCGAGCATCTCTCCTGAGCTCATCATCAGTGTGGCCACCCTGGGCCTTCGGGGGACAGCAGAAGGAGTCTCCTCACCACCTCACAGCCAACTCATTCTTGAAACATCGGGCAGGAACCTTCACCACCCTCCCCACACTTGAGATTTCTGGGACTCGTGAGGGCCAGGGGTAAGAGACAGTGCCATCACCGGAAAGGGCAGAATAGGAGCAGGTAAGGAAATAATTTTTGTGCTCGTGGGCTTGTGTGTGCGTGCTTGGGATTTGTGTGTGTCAGTGTGCACATATGTGTACATATGTGTACATGTTGATCTGGGACCTCTCATATGGAGCTGTTGGAAGCTAAGGTCATGGGTGTACAGACCCTCTGCAGACCCTGTGAGCTGATTGGCTGACTTCTTGGCTAGTTGATTATTTAGACTAATGGGGCATCAGAGCTCTAAGGAAACACCAAGACCATTTTGCCCAATCTTTTCTTTTCACTAGTGAAATTAAGACCCAGAGATTTTAGGCAGAAAATCAAGTCCATAATCCACAGCCAGTTCACAGAGATGCGCAGGACTGGGAATTCTCAGGCAGAAAGGCTTCTTCTGCGTCCCTCACACCCTTTCCAGCTACTCTCTGCCAGAGCTGTAGCCAAGGCTGACAGCCCCAGGACGTGCAGCCCCAGAAGGAAGGGGCGGTTTGGTGAGTGCCTGTGTGCACCCCTCCTGCCCGCCTCCGTCCTCCTCCACCAGGGCTGATGGGCCCTGGCTCCCACCCCAGACGATCAGATCCTGGCCACCGACAGAGGCTGACCCTTGAGTGAGAAATCACAGACTGTAGGTAACCCAGTCTTTATGTTCCTGGTACAGAATAGAGCCATGAAAAGTACCTGAATGTGTTATACAAATACTTGGAAATATTCCAATAATTTACCATATTTCCCCTTATTTATGGTGTTGAGATTGGCCTGACATTCCATTGACATTTGTTAGTTAAAAGACTGGAAGAATGATGTAAAAATGAAGACACTATGTTTTCAAACGACAAATTGACAGCGAGGGTGGGGTCTTTCCAAAACAGTGAGGGGTTTTTCTTTCTCTCTGTTGGCCCTCCCAGTGCCCAGGGAGGCGGCGGTCTTGAAGCATCGGGCACGTCCCAGGCTGATGAAGGGGCTGGGGCCTCAGACCTCCCACACCGCAGAGGGTGTTTGTTATATGAAGTTTCTCAGTGATCCTGAGAGACAAGGAGGAGCATTTGACCGGGGCTGCCTCCCTCCCTGTGTGACCCAAGGAAAGTAAAGTGGGTATAGTCAAGTCAGTATTCACATCCCAAAGTCGTGAGGACAAAACCAAGTAGGATAATGTGGAGAGCAGCCTGCAGACCGCAGAGGGTGTTCCCAGCGGTGGTGGCTGTTAATGAGGATTCCTGAGCAATACCATCTAAATTAAGGAACGTGGGCTCCCTCTGCAGCTGACGAGGTTGCCCAAAGCCCAGCTGAGCACGTGACTTCCGTGCAAATGAGGGAGTCGTGGTGACAGCCATGAGCGCCTGAATTTAGGAGGTGCCTCTGTCCCAAACAAACTTCCTAACCCAAATGTGAATTTCAGTTCATGAAACCATCACGAGTAAGGACTAACTAGGACTTGGTGTGTCTGGCATGAAAGAAATATTCTTCAAAGTTCACTTATGAGGAAGCTAACTTATAACAACAGCAAAAGCAATTCATTTATAAAAGGAAACAAAAGAGTGAAATAGGGAAGAAAGTAATGTCCCAAATTCCTGGTTGCCTAGAATCAACCACCTCCATTTTGGCATAATTGTTTCTAGACTCGTTTCGTGATTTTTAAAAAGGAATGTGACCTTTTAATAAATAATGACAGAGATGTACGCAGATAAGATAGATCATGAATGTGATACAAAAATGCCTGAAGTGCGGGAAGGGCAGGCTGGGTACCACAGCTGGTACCACAGCTGGTTTGGGGGATGAGAAGAGGTGGGTCAAGACTTCTTGGCTTGGAGGTCAGCCTGCGAAAGTGACGGGAGCACCTCTGCTTCAGCGGCCACCAGCCCGGAGACTTGGCAGCCCCTGCTGATTATCCTCGTGCGGACCCTCCTTAGGGAAGCTTCTCCGCCACGTGTCTGACTTCCCTGAGCGCTGGGAGAACCAAAGTCCTGAGGGAGTTCGACCGGTGCTCTGTTTAGTACTCGCCCTGCCGACTCTTTCTACCCAAACTCATCATGAGTTTGGCCAACATGACAGTCTCCATTTATTCTACTGGGAAGTAAAGTAACCCGGAACCTTTACCAAGTCCCTGATTCCAGGAAGCCTGGAAGAATTGAAGCCCTGCTTAGGCTGGGGCTGAGCAGTGGCTGAACGAGCTCCCTCTGACCAGCAGGCCCGGAGCAGCAGGGAGGGGAGAAGCGGGGCTCCCATCAGTTCTGCGGGAGGGACTGCCTTATTTCATGCCAAGGAGAACCTCGAACCAGAATCACATTCCAGAGCCTCAGTCTATTTTCCCACCTACTGGCTGCCTGGAATCCTCCTAAGGACTCTGCTGGCCTCTAATTAGCACAGATAAGGAACTGCTAAAGTGTGACCTCTTTTTTCACTGTTCCAAATGCACCAGTGTTGAGATTCTGTCCTCCTTGCCTGGAAAGAAAGCAGAGTAAACAAACCTAGAAAAATTACCCGGAGAGTACATGATGGCTAAAACTGCAACAGAGTAGCCGGCGTTCAGTTAAGAAGAATCTCTACCACTTTGAAGTCGAAGACGATATTTTTGAAAGACAAAACACAGAGCAAACATAAGCACGTGTACATACTGCAACTCCAGTATCTAAGTTGCACCAGTGTCCTGTGGGGGAAAAACTCAACAAATGGAAATTTCTCCCAAAGGCTGGCAAAAAGCCACCCCTCTGCTCTGATTTGGAAAAGAAGCTAGTAAACAATGTGGTGTCTGGTTTTACATTACAGATGATTTGCAGATATCTAACTTTGATTATAGTTTAGCTTTTTAGATTTTTATCACAGAAACGTATTTCAAAGAGCCCTAGCACACAGATGACGGTGGAGAAGCTTGTAAAAACAAACTCTCGGGCTTCTTGAAGCCTAAGAAAAGGAAATAAAAACATTGGACAAGCTGAGGAAACTCCCCCACTGGTCTTTTTCTCTGGGTCTTGTTCTTTGTGTCCTGCAAAGAGAAGGCTCACTAGCCAGGGTGAAGTGTGGACTGCGGGACCAACCTGAGTGGAGGGAAGAGTCAAGTCAGCTCCCAGAGGCTCTGGAAAGGCTGGATCCAGCTGCCTCAGAAATGGCCGAGGCAAAGGCTCACTTCTCTCTGGTTCAGTGAGGCGTAGGTCACGCACAGCTGGACCCAGAGCCGAGGGCGAACCACACTCCCCAACCCTGCGTACTGGACGAGGGACAAGGGACTGCAAAAGCAGCCTCGAGGAAGAAGAGTCACAGAGATACAGTGCTGCCTGAAAAGGGGATGTGGTAGGGAAGCCACCACTGCAAAGCCTCCGAACTTTCCAGAACTTTCCAGGGCAGAGCAAGTGTGATGGGCAGCATTCGGGTTGAGGGCACCTCGGGGGCCGGCTCTCCAGCACCAGTGGGTGTAGGTGGTTTTCTGGGTCTTCCTTGGCATGGTCTCTGACCTCCCCGGTGAATGTGCACGTGCCGCGGACCCGCCATGCTGCCTGCCTTGCACTAATCAATATGAAAAAGAGAAAAGGTTCCAGCAAATCGGGGGCAGGTGGCAAGACCAGGTCTCGCTGAGGCTGTTTGGAGGCCCTTCCAGATGCCCTGCCTGCCCTCACAAGCCAGAGCTTTGACCTACTCCCTGCCTGTCCTCGCTGCGTCTTTCTGCTTCTCTGATCCCTGGAGATCTCCCAGACAACAGCGGGTGTGAAAGGCAAGTGGAGAGCGGCATCCGGAGCTCCAGGGAGAAGATGCTTCCGGCTGGAGGCTGCCAGCTGGCGTCTGTGAGATGACCTGCACAGAGGAGGCTTCCCTGGCTGGGAGGAGCCCTGGGAGAAGTGTGAAGCTCAGGGGCCACCCTTGAAAAGTTTCCAGTTTAACATGGTCCGGGGCACCGTGCAAAAGTCTCTGCAGAGAAGGGCCATCCTGGACCTCCACCTGGCTGCCCCTGTTGTCTGTAGCCACTGAACTGATCCAGTCACTTCACCTCTCTGAGCCTCAGTTTCCTCCCCTGTAAAATGGGCACACTGACCCTTGGTCTACATATGTGTATGAGACTATGTCTGTGAAACCATGGAATTATAAGCTGTTATGGAAAGATTCCTTGTTGTTGGTCATAGAACACTAAAAGGCTGAATGTACTCAGAAGTCCCCAAGGAGATCCCGGATGCACACAGCCTCAGAACGTGGGACATTCGGGTCGCTGTTGCTGTCAGTGATGCTCACCAAGTGGTCCACCGCCAACCCCCAGCGTCAGAGGTGGGTCCCCTAGCAAACTGGCCGCACCCGTTTCCAGTAGGATTTGGAGGGAAAGTGAGTCCATTTTCCGTGCAATCAGCCTGAACCGAAGCACAGATCACTTTGCGCCAAGCTCTGGGGGCTTGAGTTTCCTCTCCTGAGGCGGGTCCTCCCATGAGTCAGCGGGAACCGGATCAGCCGGAGCTTAGTGGTTTTACTTGAGGGGAACCTACAGGAAATCATTTAAGAAGATAATAAGGGGGATTTTTCCTGTCTAGAAACGAGGCCCATGGGTCTTTGCCGATGATTCTGCTCTCTCATACTCAGAAGTAAACACAGGAGAGCCTCGGCCCATCGCCTTGTCAGTACGGCGAGCTCAGCACACAGATCCTCCTGGAGCAGAAGGGAGTCCCCGCCTTGGGTTTGCCCGGCTGAGGCCCCAGTGCGATTGTCTTCTGGACTTTGCCCCTCCCAGCACCCAAGCCGGAGCCCCATGCAGCCTGGGCACTGCCTGGGCCCACGCCTCCCCGCTCCCCCACCCGCTCCACCTCCTTAGCTTTGCCCCATTGTTTGACGTGATTGTCTTTGAAATTAAAATTAGGAACGAATTCCCACCGTGGTAGAGGGTCATTACTTTGTGGGGTGCCCTTCTCCCCATGCGTGATTTTCATTTTCACAAATGGTTTGACCCCAAAAGGTGGTGAGTTTTGAAACTGAGTGTTCAGAGCTGTCTGCCCTGGAATTTGTAGCTGGAAAAGGAGACTCACAGGACAATATGAAAAAAAAGGAATAATCAGAATGCCACGGGGAGGAAATCTGGTTCGTCTCTCTGTTTCATGGGCCCCCAAGCCCAGCGAACGACGCATGGATCAGTGAATTCGTGAATGAACGAGGGAACTGAGCCACAGGGCTGGAGCTGTCACTAGAGGTCATGGAGGGTTCCAACCAACGCCCTGATTTTTCTAGATGAAGGAACTCAGGCATAGAGACCGCAGCCTACCCAGGCGCAATCACACAAAGAAAAGCTGAAGGCCTGAGTCTCCGCAGGGCCTCTGGAGCAGGGCCCCCACTCCCAGCAGGTCAGCTCTCCAAGAAGGACCTGCCTGGGTTCGAACCTGGCTCCCCTGCGTCATCTGTGCAGTGTTGCCAGGACTTGCTTTGAAGCGAGAAGAGCAGCTTTCATCACTCCCATGACTTACAGGAGGGAAGCATAATCATCTTGGCCTGGGAGAGAAGCCCCCGCGCTTGGTTCTCACGATTCCCCTTCCCTAGCCCCTGGCTGTCATCCTATCTCTGATCAGTGTCCAGTAAACAGACAAGAGCCTGTTTTATGCCGTCACAGACTAAGAGCTCCATCTTTCACTCCTTCTTTGAAATGAATCCTCCCTCCCATCTCTGCTTTTGGTTCCATGAGAGCAGCATGGTGGTAGGTGGGGTGTGTGGGATGCCGTTCACATCCAAACACTGAGAGGTGGCAATGCTTTTTCTGTCGGGGGGAGGGTGAGTTGGGCAGTCTGGAAGGATTACGACCACACTTAACTTCAGAGCATTTTCATCTTCATCATCTTTTAGCCATGAAATGACCATCCCAGAGGCAAAGCAGCAGCCTCCGAAGTGATCCCAGCGAGGCAGGAGTCAGGATGTGGGCGGAGCCTCTCCAGCAAAGGGAGGGGTGCTGTTTGCTGCCGTTCACATCCTGGTGTTACTCCTTCGAGTTATAACTTGCCTTCGACATCCCTGATTTCTGAAGTAGCCAATCTAGGCGGTTTTGAAGACTAGCACATTAATTTTCCGAGTACGGGGATGGGCGGCCAAGGGCCACCTCAGCTGTTTTTTAGTGCCAGTGGAGAGACGATGTGCAGTTAGGGAGGAAACCTCGAACTGGGTACTAGGCGTGGCTCTGAGCAATTCCTATTTCTGTTTGCAGTTAGAGCCCCAAACTCAACTTGGTAAATTGTATGCAGAACCTATGTATTCAGAGAAATAACTTCCAATGAGGGCACTACTTAACCCTACACGAAAGTGCAGTTTGCCCATAATTTTCCTGGGTATCAACACACGGTGCTGAAAGGCTTACCCCAGGGAGACAGGCTGTGCCTACAGGTGGGCCAGGGTGATGAATGCCTGGGAGGTGCACACGCTGCTCGGTGTGTCTGAAGCTCTGCCCTTCACACAGTGAGGTAGCAGGCGTACGTCAAAGGAAGTAGGCTTCATTGATAGAAAATGGGAAAGACGGTGGGTTCCTTGTCTCTTGATGGTCAAATCACAGCGTCAGGACAAAATTTTGTTTCTACTGGGCAAGTTTACACAATGCTCAAGAGGCATCGTTTTCCTTTGTTTTCCTTCCCTTTCCTGCTGGGGTTGTCCATGCTGCTGCAATTTACTTCTCTGGCCTCGAAACCTGTTGATTTTCATCTGAGCTTCCGTGCCGTTCAGGATCTGCTCCATGTTGAGTTTTCTTGTTTGCCACTCCCTTTTTGATAAAGCTGTTTATTACTTTAAGGTGGTCAAAACAAAATCAGCTTTCAAAGATGTCTTTGTGGATGAACTTCCTGCTGAAGACAAGTAACTTCGTGCTGGCAACCTGAGACTCGGGCTCCCAGCCACTCTCATGTCTCCACTACCAACTTTTTCTCATGGATGTGATCCATGTAGCTCGTGAGTAAAAAAGAATCATGTGATGTAATTTTTGAGCACAGCTGTTTCACGAGAGCAGGAGTTGGCTTGGGGTATTCTAATTTTGAGAGCTTTTGATAAACTAAAGTGAAATCAAAGTCCAGAAGGGTGAAGGGACTGGAAATCACTCGGAGGGCAGTGAGGATGCCGGGTCCCAGAGGTGTCAAAGGTCTGTCATGTGGATACATCCTTGAGACCTAACCCAAGTTTCTCCAGGGTGTGGGAGCAAGACCACAAGG